TGTTCTTCATACCAAAACGAACGAATCTGGTGTAATAAAACTAGTGTCTCACCAAATGAAAAACAAAAATATATATTGCGTAAAATATGCCTATGATTTGTGAAACTAAAATTCCATTTTTACAATTTTTCATTCTAAAATTTTTTGTATATATGAAGACAATAATATGTATGTATATAGATATGTGCATAAGGAATATTGTGTAAATATTTTAAACGCCAATATTTACTTACTTTTTAATAATATGACTTTTAAGTTAAGGCGTACGAGTAAGCATGTTAGATGATTTCGTATGGTGCTACGGGGCGTATACGTTACATACGCAACTACCAGTATTTGAGCATGAGTGGTTATTTTTACTTTGTTTTAATTTATCTTTTTTAAGTTTTCATTTAAATACAATTTCGCGATGGAATCTTGTTCTTTATATAAAACTGAAGATAATGCATTTTCTAAGATAGGTGAACCACCATTTTCGACCAAAAACATGTCGATATCATATAAAAGAATTATATCAGAATAAATTTTTTGTTGCACAAGGAAGAATGGCTATGGAAAATGTCCTTTGCAAATTTTGTCCTTAAATATCCTTGACAAGTTGCAATACAAATACATATACACACGACGTCATCATCGAATTTCGTCCTGCAAACTTTATTTACTTAAAAAGATCAACTTTATTAAAAGCGCATTGTTAATACCTATTCGTCCTTGTAAACAAAAATATTTTCTTATTTTTAAATTCTACAGTATTTTCTCTCTCATTTGGTACCAATACCGTTATTATTCTGAATCGCACTGCTTTTTTTTAAATAATCTTTTGAATTAATCATATCATTACAATTTCAAAGCCCTTTGAAAAAAATCCTGGCATCAGAGTGAAAAACTAAAAACGCAGCTTTACTTTATTTGGTCCATTGTTGCGTGAGTATATCGATTCTTTCGTGTGTTTTAATCACTATTTAACATATAAAACGCTAAGCTTAAGATTTTACGACGGTTAATATGTCTTGTGAATCCCCTCATTCAATTTATGTTGAGATAGGGCGCTTTCAAAGCGGCAGCTGAAATAGGGTATTTTTTTAACCAAATTCTGAGATAAGGCGTTCTTCAACCAAATTCTTAATATGGAGTTTTTCAACCATTTTGCTGAGGTAGAGCGTTTTGGAATGGTTTGATTACGGATTACAATTGAAAGCTGGCAACTGATGTGCTATTTATTACATATAACTAGTAGTAGTAGTTATTGTATTACATATAACAAGTAGAAGAAAGTAATAAGCTTGAAAAGTGTGTTGATTAGATGCATTTTATATCTAATTTTAATCTTTGCATAGAATTACAAAAAAAAACAAGGAAATCGCAAAGATTAACACATCCATGTGATTAACTTTAAATTGAGGTATCGCTCATTCCCTCACTCATTAGTTTACTCACTCCCTAACTCATTACTCATTCATACACTTACTCCTGGAATCACTCACTAGTTTACACAGTCAATCACTTAGATATTTGTACAATCACTTACACACTCACTCAACACTCACTCGCTAAATTATTTATAGCTCATCACTCATTCACTCACTAACTTACCACCCACTCACCCGATCACTGATTCATTCGCTCACTTTCTCAATTACTTACTAATTCATTAACTCGCTCATCACTCACGTAGTCATTAGCTAACTTAGTAACTCAGCAAACCAGTCACTCATTCCCTCACAAATAATTCGCTCATTCAATCACCTTATTCGCTCAATTTCTCATTCACTCCCAAAAACATTCAAATATGGTGATTCAATAAAACCGCAGATTTTATTTTATAAATAAAACTCCTCTGGCAACACAGCATGCGCATATACAAATTTTCCGTGACTTTAGGGCATAGTTCGGGATGCATATTATTTAAAACCCGTATGATGTCAATCTTCAGCTATGGAATCGCCTCGGGCTTATTGGCATAGGCATACTTTTTACGTGGCCGCAGAGAAAGAAGTCAAATGGTGTGAAATCGCAAGATCTCGGCGGCGTTTTGACCTAATGGAGAAAATGCGTCCTGGGAACTTCGATCACAATAGGGCTACTGTTTCATGCGCTATGTGTACGGTGACCATCCGTCATGTATTATACGGAACAGTCCTCGTTTTTGGCCCATTATCCTGGTAATTTATTTATTTTATACGGGACGCCAAGTGTTCTGTATTTCTTTTAATGTCCTGTATTTGCCCCGTATTCGGTGTGTCGACGCCTTAATAGCTCATTAAAATGGCGCATGCTTATGAACGAGTTTTAAGTAATGTTGGTACATATATGATACTAAACAGTTATTATTTTCTAATCTGAATGCCTATGATTCGAATCGAGGAATACATACGGTGACTAAAACAAAAATTAGGCCTCGACATTTTAGTAAGGTTTGGCTATTTTTCCTTAGTTTATTTATTTATTTTATGAAAGTAAAGCTCTTTTTCTAACAAAAACCATATAACACCAACTTTTCCACTTTGTGCAAAAAACTAAAAATTAATTCTGCAAGGTTTCACCGAATTTCGAACTTTTTAATTAAACTCTTTAGAACAAGTTTGGTTTGCAGTTTTATAACTCATTAAAATTGAATATTATAGAGTGCCAGTGGAAAGCGCTGCTCATTTGCTTCTCTTTTAACAAAATGGTCGAACATACTTAGTTTGTATGAAAAAAATGCGTAACACCGCCAAAAAAAAAAAAAAAAATGCCAAAAATTATTGGTAAGCCTTAGCAATTTAAAATTGTACCTTTTATACTAAAATTTGAGGAACTTTTTTAACAAACTTTACACGGTAAAAATCTCGGGAAATTCGTTATGTTACTATAAGGATACTGTTTCAGGGCTAATACATCTAGGATCATTGAAGAAGGCTTTAAAATCTGTAAGCTGTTGTGGAACGAATTTGCAAAATTATTTTTTGTCCCGTATTCGGCTCTCATAAATATGGTCACCGTAGCTATGTGGCAAGTGGCACCATTCACATGTTGTCCTAAGTCCATCTCATTTAAGCAGTCGGTTATAATATCACGGTACCGTTTGCTGTTCACCGTTATATACTGTTACCGGCGTCGTCGCGGCCTGGTACCCACTTTGTTTCACAGTAGCAATATTTTCGGTGTAACAACCTTCACCCAGACGCACGGTCGTTGTCAAGTTTTGCAAACGTTTTTTTTTTTTTTTTAAATAAGATCAGATGGCCGGTTACCTATACCGCAAAAATAGCGCAATGTGCAAAATGAACTACTTCCGCAGAACCTTCTGTGTAACTGACTATCGCTCCATGACTAAGTTTGCCAAAACCTGAAAAAAAAAACAAACACATGTAGTATGTATTAAAAATATTTTCTGTCAAAGATCTGCATCACCTTGAAATAACTGTTATTTTGAATACCTAAGCGTATTTTTTCTAAATTGAATATAATAATAGTTTTTACTTCTTGTCCCAATAGTGGTTAATAAAAATCATATTTAGCTTTAAAACCCAAATTTCCATACGAGTATTATCTACACATGTATGCATGTATGTATGTATATTTACTTCCAAGTAAAAATACAGCTTACATACAATATATAATAAGAATAATAATCAAAAATAATAAAGAAAAAAATTTAAACCAACAAATTTTGTTCCAGATACTCACTCGGTCAGCAGTGTATGAGAACCCGCGCGTTCAGGCGTCTCCATATCCGATCGTTATCTACCACATATGCGCCACAAAATTGTCGTGTAAACAAACTCCTCGCTTGCGTCTGCAGAATACTTAGTGTCAAGTTGCGTTTAATAGCGATTCGCGAACGGACCAACAATACATATTTATGTACTTACACACATACACGAGTACAACGGCGATCGGGCAGCAATCAGCTAGAGCTAGCCACTGAGCGAGCCAGCCACAGCCATCGAACCAATTCGCCAGCAACGCGCTGCCGAACGGCGACGCATGGAGCTTGGGATTGCCCGCGTGTCTGCGAGTGCGACAAAGGCGATTACAAGCGCGATTCCAAACTTTAGCAGATATCAATCCACACGCTGAGCATAATTAATTTGCCTTAGCCTTATGCCATTTGTGTCGGTCAGTAAGTAGTGAGAGCTAACTTGGTGTGCCCCGTATACAGAACCCCAGCCAGCGACGAAACTTGATTATTGATCACGTACGCGTCCGTATCTGCCCGCCGCGGCAATGCGCTACCGACAGCGCCTGCCTACTGCTATAAGTGTTTGCAAAGTCACATAAATAATTGTATATTTGTAAACATATACATATATTAGTTCATTGGTTTGTAGATATGCTCACGCGATTGCTCTGAATATTGCCACATATTTATGTATGTATGTATGTGCATACATTTGTATGTCCATAATTATAAACTTAAGTTTGTGCGTGCGTAACAATCGATGTTCTACAACAAAATTCTACAAATAAGTATTATAAGTGTACTACGTAAATATGCATATGTACATATGTACGACAAGGAGAATAAATAAAATTAACAATAACAACATCAAAGCCCACAAACAATAAGCTGCTGTGCTCCACCTCGCAATGCTATCGAGTCTGCTCGCAACAATTGCTACTCTATAAACGATATGATTATGCTGGTATGTATGTATGTACATATGTATTTATGCACAGATAAATATGTGACTTTCCTATATACGTTTGCAAGTAATTATCATTTAATATTTGTGTTGAGTTTATTTGTTATTGTTTGTTTTTTTTTTGCAAAGTAGACATAATTGTATATTGACTTTCCTTGCAACCATTTGTGTGTGGTTAATTCATACATACATACATGTACAAGTATGTATGCCTATTAGACTGTCTCACGCTCCATAGAGAAAAATATTTAGGTTCTTTCCCCCAACCCAACCATAAAATAAAAATCATATATCGCACACCGTCACCGTCAAAAGAGTCACAACTCAAAATAATACGTTTGTCAGAAAATGCGAAAAACTATTTCTTAGCACATGATAATCATATGGGCAAAGGCGACTTTACCTTAGGTTTTTTTTTTTTTTAACTAATTATAACAAAAATTTGCTCCAGCTTTTGCTGAAAGGTAAATAAAAGCTCTGTGTACATTTTTAGCGCATAATCTCAACAATGTCAAATTTTGAGTTGTGACTCTTTTGAAGACGGTGTGCGATTTGCACTTTACACTCCTACAGCATAACTTGAGCAAATCCAAGGTTTCGAGTGTCGTAAATCTGGCACGATTTTATACTGGGCCCACCAAAAAACTTAAGGACCCTAGAAAAAATATTAATCGATTCAGAAAAATGTCCTAAATAAAATTTCGACAGGACATGCATTTTAGTTAATTACACATTTGACATAATTTTGTTTTGAAAATTGGGCAGTTTTTTGATAGATATGTTTTAAACTGGTCATGGATTTTTGCCCATTTAAGAGCTGAACATAGATATGTATATGAGTGGTAGGCATAAAATGCCCACAATTTTTATGGCCAGTTTTTAATTCACCAAAATTTTATGCCCAGTTTTGAAATACCAATAACTGAAAATTTATGTATATTTTTCATTTTACCAACAAAGTAAGTTACCAAACATGTACGTAGGATGTAGTGTGTATGTTCAGTTTCTCAATTAACAAAAATTGTATGTCCACTTTTTTCTTGATCAAAATTTTATGCCCAGTTTTGAAATACACAAAATTCATTTCTAGTTTTTATTTAACCAACAATATAACACCACGTAGTACATTTGACCGAAAAAAATTTAATAAAAAAATAACGATTTTGCAATGAAAAAATCTGAATATTTAACGGTCGCTGCCTTAAACAGGTTGACCTTTCTTCTTATTTTGACCATAGTTTAGGACTTTCTTTAACAATCTGCAAGGTTTTGTTAGTGCGACTTCCTAATGTACTTACTTATTTGCACGTCCATACAATTGCTTCTCCTCTATAGCAAAAACGTATGCGCGTAGACTCCATAGGTAGAAACGCAGCGTCTGTTTCCCGCCACCCTCTAAAATCGCTGGGGCCATGAAAAATACTATATATGCGTAATGTTTATTCAATAGCTTGTTTCTTTACTTTTCTAGCAGATAAGTATCAAAAAGAAGAAGAATTGAAAAATTGAGAGGATTACGCTCGCAGAGAGCGAAATAAAGAAATAGTTAAGAAACGCAAACCATGTTGCCAGGTCATTGAAGTGAGAGATCGTCAATTTGGTTCTCAAAAGTCGTCATTCGTATGTAAAAATCGTCAACATATGAAAAATTTAAATAAACAGAACTAGGAAGCTATATCAAAAAAATAAAAAGCTTAACTTTTTACGAATTTTTTCGATGTCGGTGTAACTACGGCATGGCGACGAATAACTGTTACGCAGTTTTTTTCTTAAATAGAAGTATCCTTTAAAAATTTGCGAAGAAAGTATTATCTCGTTAGTTTACCGAGTCTATTCGTTTTCTGAGTATGAGCGTTATGTTAGCCAAAAGTGGGAGTATAAAGGACTCAAAATTGAGGAAATTAGCCCACGGTTACAGAAGATAGTGAATAATCAACCGACGAAGACTTGCGCGTCCCGCTTGCGATTTTCTCTCTAAGTGTTTACCGCCGGTAAACCCAAATAAAGGTTAAAAATTAAAAACTAATTAATAAAATTAAAGTAAAATCTGTGGAAAATTAACAGTAAAATACTTTTTTAGCAAAATCCATAAAGGGTCCTTTTATTTTTCAAAAAACCCTGGGTAACAGTTATTCGTCGCCCCTCTGTATATTCAGAGTTGAGAACCAGCCAAAACTGCTTATAAAGAAAAATCGTTATTAGGTCACAAAAATCGTCAAATCGTCATGGCTGTAAAAATCTTCAAAATGACGACCAAATCGTCAACCTGACAACACTGAAACAGTTGAAAATATTTGGCGCCATTTTATTATCGGTTTTTGTATTTTAAAAATATTCGCAAATACTTAGATTTTGCGAAACTTCATCAACATTTAGTAATTCGCTCATTTTTATTAAACAAAAGATAGCAAAAATATGGAAAAGGAAACAAATAAAAGCAACTTTGCTTAATCTCGCTTGTTGCTGTTTCAATAGCTGTTTACTAGCAGAAACTAGCAGGATAGGCAAAAAATAAGAGCGTCAGAACGAGAGAGAGTTGCTACATTCTGATAGCTTTTTTTTTTGGGCAAATAATCGCTTTCTAGCAGAAACGAGAGATAATTATCTGTAAAGAAACAAAGCTAATATCTAGGCATACAATGTTGCTGACTTGCTGTTGTTAATGTTTTTCTTATTGCACTCTTTTTTTTGCTACTGTTTCACTATAATTTTGTTGTTGATATGTTATGATTGTTTGTGGTGTAGTTACTACCATATTTAAATGTTTTTGTTGCCGCTGTTTCTGTTGCTGGAATTGTTGTTGTTAGGCCGTTTGGGATTCAGATTCTGATTCTGATTCCTTTTCCATTTTTGCTCTTTCTGTTGCTGTTTTTGGTTTTGTTTTTATTGTTATTGTGCTATACATCTATTAGCTATTTGGTCTATTGGTATTTCTGTTTGTTGTTTATAGTCCATAAAATAGTGAAATATTTTAATTGCCTCTCCATGTTTAGTATGTGTGCTCACACGCATGCAAATATATTTATGTACATACATGTGCAGATATATATGTATGTTTGTACATATGTATGTTTGTAAATATAAAGTCGCAAACGCACATTTGTGCACATATTAGGGTTGCCAGACGTACCCTATTGGCGGGGGGATATACCCAATTTTGGCTTTTTGTCCCCCCTTGCTACGGAAGGTTGCGTAGGTCCCCCATTTTCGCCTGAAATCATTCACTTTTCGCTTAAAGCGCGTTTGTATTGTTCAACTTTCACAGGCGATTAGTTGAAGGAAAAGTACAATTTTTTTTGAAAATACTTGTATGCCATATTTAAGGCTGGCGATCAAAACTGAGTGCATAGTTATTTTTTAAAATATCCACAATATTTTTCAAGTTAATTTTTTTGTAATTTTTTCGTAAAAATATTTTTCATGCTTTAAACAAAATCATATACATGCATCAATCAAACCTACAAAATTAGTAAAAATTTTAGAAAAATGTAACAAATTTCCATAAAATGTGGAACCTTTTAATCTGAATGCTTGGATATACAGTTACATGCCCCATGAAATTTTAGTAAAATGAGAGCAAGTTTTAAACAGCGATTTTTCCATATAAGAAGTGTAATTTAAAAAAGAATTTTCTTCAAATTCACCTTTGTATGAAAAAAAGTCGTCAGCTAAAAAGTAATAAAAATCTACGTGATTTTTAGCCGCGTAAAACTTGCACTTATTTTACTAAAATTTCATGAGCCATGTAACTGCATATTCAAGAATTCAGAAGTCCAGAACTTTTACTGAAATTTGTTGCATTTTTCTATAGTTTGTATTAAGTTTGAAAGCTTGAGTTAGTTGGTTTTGCCTGAAGCATGAAAAATATTTGTACAAAAAATAAGCAAACAATTAAATTGCAAAACATTGTAAAAATTTAAAATAAAATCACCATGCACACAGTTTTGATTGCCAGTGTAACTTTGTTTTGTTCAAATTGAATAATGAATTTTTTTACATATATGAACGGTTTTATTGTTCCATAAGCGAATAAATCAATTTTTTGTTGAATACATTTAGTTTTATTTGTCCCCCGAAAAATACCCCTTTTTCTTTCTCAATTGTACCGTAAGTCCCACAATTTGTTCTTATCTGTACCTCTTTCGGCATTTCACAGGTGTGGCAACCCTAGCACATACTCGCATCTACATAAATTGCATGCCCATAGAAAAAGGCGTTCTCGCCTTCATTTGTTTGTATCACTTTGTCTCGCACTTAACTGCTTGACTTGACTTGGCTACTACGTGTGCTGGTGCTATTATTTGTTGTTCTTTTTTTTCATTTGTGTGATAAATTGAAGTGAGAATTTTATAACGCCAAAATCCACAATAGAATTAACAGCTCTACAAATTGCCAATGCCACTTATAAGTTTAATTGTTTTTGTTGGTTTGTTTTGCCTTTTTTATTCGTAGTAAATAGATGTGTATATATGTATGTACATATTTATGTGTGTAAATAAATTATATGCATGCAGGTACATTTGTATTTCACGAATTGCTTACTCTTAATAATACGTATTTGTTGGAACACACAGGTTGATATGTATTTATGTACATAGTTAGCATTTTGAGCGGCCCCAATTGCATACCAATGATATCGGAATTTTGGACACCGGCATTCATGTACATACATACATATGTATGTATTCCAAAATTTATTTTCGCTTATGGGCTTAATCCAAGCTAGTTTCCCAGGCAAAGCAGCGTAAAACTTTCTTAAACTCGTACTCTCCGAGGGGGGGGCGGGGGAGAGGATCTCGTTAGAAATGCCACTTTCTGCATACATTCCAAACCATTTGGTGTACATTAGGGTGGTCCAAAATAAGTAAAGTGGGAATTGTAATGCTCTCATCCTATAGGGTTGTTCTATATCAAAAAAAAGTATACCCATATTTCCTTTTTGAAATCAAAAATTATTTAGAGGTCGCTCAAAACGCTCAAAGTTTTCCATGTATTTTATATAGGGGAAAAACACTTTTCGTAGAAATGGTATGGAATTCTCGAAAATCAATATTTTTCGATTGGAAAACTCTGGTTCTCTTCAGGAGACTTCCAACAATAATATCCAATGGTTTATTTAATCATTTTGTAATTCTAAAGATTTTTTATTTGTCCCCCTATTGAATTTTCTGGCATTTTCTAGGGGTTTTGGCGGACCTAACTATACCATTTCTACGAAAAGTTGTCTAAATATTTTTTGATTTCAAAATAAAAAATAGGGGTATATTTTTTCGATAGAACTATACATAGGGGTGAGGGCATACAAATTCCGACTTTACTTTTTTTTTTACATGGAATTTTGGACCACCCTAGTGTACATACGTAAGATACCCCTGATTTTAATATTTAATTTAAATTATTCATTAAAATTTTAAACAGTCGGTAATATTTCCAAAAATATTTTGGAAACATTTAAAATTGGAAAATTGGATTGGATTGGAAAATTGGAGATTTAAATAAATTTGACTTTTATAGTGGGCGGCAACCCTAATCCAAAATACACTTAAACTATAGCTTTCTTAACACTCTTTCTTTTAACACCGATACTGAAATATTTTACACAGAGTATGTACAACATTTATTTATATTCAATTTTGCAAACAGATGGCAACCCTCTTCAAAAATATATTCAAACAAAAACCTTCTTAAACCTTTTCTGTTTGACAGCCAAATTTTTATAAATATTTTAATTAACTTATGAATTAATTTGAATTAACTTTTTAAACAGGTGGCAACACTTAAAACAAATATTCAAACTAAAACCTTCTTCAACCTCTTTCGTTTGACATCCATACTGTTCTACTTATTTCTATTAACTTATAAATTAATTTGAATTAAACCCTTTCAACAGCTGGCAAATCCTAAGAACCTAAACAAAATATTTCAAATGTTAATGAATGTTGTAAGCGACCGGGTGCCAAATTTCAACTAAATCCGTCCAATTTTTTCTATACCAAATTTGGTCGAGATCGTTCAAGTAGTTTTTGTGATACGCATATATAATATATCTAAGTGGGCTGGGCCACTCCCATTTTCCTAAAATTTCTTGAAAAACCGCTTTTTTTCTAAAGAGCGATTGTATATATCAATTTTGAATAAATATTGATGAATTCCTTAGCCACACTGCTCAAAAAATCAGAAAGTCCGGTACATAAACAATATAAATTAAGACCGTGTTTAAGAAAAGTCGCCTAGCTTCGACAATTTTTATGCGATTGCAATAAATGAGCTATAAGTTTACTTGAAAATGGATTTAATTGTAGATAGCACTACATATTTTGAAATTGTATTGGTCAAAACTTAAAAAATAAGAAAAAATGTTTTTTTTTTTTTAAATTGTCCCGATGAAAAATCCCGACAATCCAAGTCTGACAATAGATTATTATACATCATTTCAAAGGCCTATAAATCCTCCTCTCACAACATGTTCGATCTTTAAAATCGAATGAAAAATAGTTATAAAAAAACTGAAAAATCTACAAAACCGTATTTTCTGGCTTAAAATGGCAAGTCGCGACCTTTAAATAATTTTTAAAAAATCTATAAAAATAGGCAAAAATATTACTCATAAAAAAGAAGGAAATTAGGGGGTAGGGTCTTGAAATTTAAAAAAAATTTCGATGGGCACCCTAATGTACATGCATAAAATTTTAATTAAATTCATTTTCCAGTTGAGGAAAATTACCCAAAAAATGTTCGATGTTTGTTATGTTTGGAGCGAGTAATGACTTTTCAAAGGCATTAAATGGAATTAGGAAACTTTTGCTTTCAGTATGTGCGTTCCCATGTATGTACATATACATACATATATGAATGTAAGAATTTATTTATGTAACTACATAAGTACATGTTGGAACTTTCCATAAATACATAAATATGTACTATAGACATACTATACTTATGTATGTGAATATGTGTGTACATTAGACCCTACCAGGAAAAAAGTTCGCCTACATCTCTGAGTCTAAAGTATTTTTGCAAGGCAATTGCAAGCATTTTTTTTTTGGGCCGTACTAGGGGTCGCTTTTACATTTTTCGTCACATCTTCGCCATTTACAGACGGGTCTCAATGTGTGATATATCGATGTTTTTTTGTCTCGAAGACAGAATTCTATTGCTCCAAAGCTCGTTGACCTCAAGCAACCGTTTTATTACTGAACTACCAGAGAGGAAACCACCACCAGAGAGGAAATCAAAGACCACTAAAAACCATTAAACGTTTGTTGAGGAATTATTTCGATTATTCGAGTTATTACCGAATATAGGTGTCACCGGAAAAATGTAAATGTTCGGCAAACAATTTTTTTTTTAATAGCCTTGAAAATCACTTCAGGCTCTGGGGTATACGTCGAACTTTTTTGTTTGTTTGTAAGGTGGTACGGTGTAATGTACATTGGGGTGCATCAATATTCATAAAAAATAATAAAAAACGCTTCTCTTTTTTCATTGGAATTATAACGTTTGTTAATTGTTATATTTTATTTCCGCCAAAATATTTCGGAAAAATATTAAGCTTTACGTGAGCTGGACCCATTTGAAGATACTTGCAAAACTCTAATTTAATAAATAAAATTAGTTCTAAAAATATTTTTTTCCTGAAAAATCACCTCAGATGATAAAAGGATTTAAGCTTAAAGCTCTGTATAAATATGTTTAAAAGTTTTATCAACGAAATCAAAGTAATGAGATTTCTGGAGTTATTTTCAAGTCGGTCTAGCTCACGTAAGTCTTAACATTATTCCGAAATATTTTGTCGTAAGTCTTAAAATATAAATTTTATAGTACTCGTTGGAACAGCAACAGCTTTTTTTTTTGGTGGTGCACCCTAATGAACATACATACATGTTTGCAGAACAGCTTTGCAAATAATCATCTGCATACATAAAACTTAATAACATTCAATTATTGTTGCCATTTGTTTACTTAAAAAAGTAATTTCGGTTTGTTTGTGCGAATACTTACATACATATATACTGGCTTCTTAGATATGCATGTTGTGTGAACATCTGTATGAACTTACTTACAAATATACATATGTATGCATGAATGTATTCTAATTGAGTATTTAACAAAACTAGCATGCCAATATTATGCAAATATATCTACATGGCAATACATGTTCATATATGTATATAAACCTACCAGCTTAACAAATACCAAATATTTACGTATACATAAATAAACTTTACCTTTTAAAAGAAAATTTTGTGCGGAATTCAATCTATGATGGAATAATTTAGAAATATTCAAACCCCGCAGCTGATTTTATTTTACTTTTTGATGTACATACATACATACATATGTATAAAAGTTTTGGTGAGGGTTAAGAAGAGATCTCTACATCTAATCAGCCCTCCAAAAGAGGAACTTTGTATATTAAGAGGCAGCCTTACAAAATAATGCTGACTGAGGGGGATTCTGAATAAGTTGGGGATATGGTTGAATGATCTGTGTGAATTTTGCGACTCGAACACGGAGACATCTTGGCATACATACATATTTGCATTGAGACTTACGCCATCTGCGGAAGACGTGAGGGGAGTCTAGGCCAATGTTGCTACAAAAATCGCATCCCAGCTCTTCGAAAAGCAATCATAAAACATAAATGTACACAGCATAAAATGTTTTTTTTTTTTTTAGAAAAAAAGAAAGTTCGAAAAACTAACAGCTAGACTGATTAGATTAGATTGTCAAAACAGGATCCCAGCATCCATCCGGAAAAGCCCATAACGAACCGATTGGCAGATGCTGGGCTTCACGGTTAACTGACAGGGCGGAAACAGCAACGCAACAACAACGCGAGCTTCTCCAATACTGCAAAAAACACGAGCTTTTATCACTTTGACCTCGATTTTCTCAAAATCTTAAGCTGAAAAGCACAAAAACGTCTATTAAAAATAGCTTTAACATTTGCCGCCCCAAAATCAGTGTTGCACTGTGTTATTTTATGATTTTTATTTTTTTTTGCTCAGAGATAAAAATTATTACTGAGTTTTATTTTCGACTTAAAAATAATGATTTTTATAAAATTGGAAAGGCCATACAGACGCAATGGTCTGAAGTTTTGACCTGCAAATTTGGGGCTTTCCCTACCTCTGAAAAGGATAGAGCGAAAATTACGCTGGTATAGCTTTTGAGATTTTTTGAATGATCATTATTTTTAAGTGAAAAAATAAAATTCAATAATTATTATTATTTTGGAGCGCAAAAATTAAAATCATAAAGTAATCATTATTTTTGATCGAAAAAATAAAAATTAAGCAATAATAATTTCCTCTGATCGAAAAATTAAAATTAAAATATTAATTTTTATTTTTAATCTTTATTGATTAAACTCGCAAAATTAAAAATCATTGTAAATTACAGTAGGACGTACGGACACTTGTTGATTTTTTTTGGTTAAAATTTAAAAAATAATGATTATTATCCGTCCCTGATTTTCATTTTGTTTTTTTTTTTTTAATTTGAAAAATTCTACCTCATCGTTTTTAAAGTGGTGCTAAGGTTTACGTGGCCAGAAATGTATTTTTCAACGGCTCCATCTACTATGTATCTCTCTCTTCGACGCACACTGGGCCCTTTCTCAATTTTAGCGCCTTAATGGCGTTAGGAGTACAAGCTTCCACTGTATGAACATTAAAATTTTAATTAACTATTTGCATACAAAATTACACTTTGTAATCAATTTATAATACATCGCCAAATTTTTTAGGAACACTCATATTTTTATCGTTTACGTCGTTAAATTAGTAGATATAAAATCTCGGATTTTTTATCAATATTAATTTGCAAGCGCACAATTTCTAAATGCCAAATGAAATTTAACATAAATTTTGTGTTTTTTGCGTTTTTTCACAAGTTTGACTGTCCGTTTGTTTGTTGATTACTACTGAACAATTCGAAATATTTAAAAACTGATTGTGAGTAAATAATAACGTGTATACACAAAAATGCAACCATACCAGTTTTATGCGGCTGCCATCCTCAGCATCAGCGTCTCCAGCAGCGACAACGACAACGACAACGACACCATCCAACATCTCCAAGCGGCAGCGGCATTAGCCCGAACTAGCAGCAGCCATCCGCCTCAGCCTCGGCAACAGTGGTGTGGTGGCACCAACACCATAAAGCTGCGCGTGCCGATCTTGAGTCGACGCGTCACTCACTCTATTTGCCAACATACTTGTTTTAAATTTTTTAATTTTCTTCTTATTATTATTATTATTATTACCAATCCATTTGCTACCGCGCGCTGTCTACGCAGATTTCCCTTATTTCTGCTGATTTGTTGGCACTGTTTATTTCGATTAGTATTAATTTTTTCCAATTCGTTTTTTCTCACTCTATTTTAGTTGTGGCCTTTTATATAGTTGTTGCCTTTGTTGTTATTTAATCATTTGTTCATTTGTTCGTTGGCCGCATACCTTTAGTTAGCTCGTATTAAGTTCGTATGCTTAACTTGCTGACCGGCTGGCTGGCCGTTTGATTGCTTAGCGGACTGAGGCCGACTGGCCGCTCACCTGACCAGCAGCTGGCCATTGGAATTGATGTCTGGTTGGCTTTGACTTTATTTACACGCACGCACCTGTCGTACGAACGAGGTCTGTCTGTGTTGGGTTGGCTGTCGAGTAGAGTCGGCCGTTTTGCTATTTATTATTTTACAATGTTGCTGTTATAGTCGAGTTGGTTGTTGTCATTATTGCTACTATACACAAGTAAGTACATTTGTTTGGATGTGTGCACATATACCAATACATTACCTGCTTTAGTTGTGGGGTTTTCTACCGCCTCAACATTGCACATTCTCTCCTCAAAATTTATTTGTTTCGCTTGTATGCTGGCTAGTCCAGCCGCTTGGTCTGGCTCAACTGTTCAACTGTCTGCATGGATCACTGCATTGTAACTGCGTAATCTTCGGCCGGTATTTTCAGCTTGTACACTCTGTCAAATATTTATTGGTCTCAAAAGTGTGTAAGGACAAAAGAAGAAATTCCTCTGCTTATGTTTCTCCCAGAAGATCGAATAATTCTGTGGACCCTGTATGCAATTCAAAAGCAGACCACTCCCTCGACGAACCGTTTTTTTTATATGGCGCAGTGGATGATGTCGAAGAAAAATTATAAGTCTTAGGTGCATTCAAGAGAACTATTCTACACAAGATCTACGGCCCTCTTCACGTCAGCGACGATTTTTATAAGGTTACCTAATTAAATTTGCAATAAAAAGCTATGCTTTACAGGCAGGTAGGTATGCCATCAGTGACTTCCTTGATATACATTTGTATATGTAGGTAGCTTTCCACAATTGGTGTTATATTGGGGGCTCTTAACTCCATTTGGTTAAGTCCTGCTATAACTCACGGGATTGAAAATGTTTTGACTTGGCGGTCAGTCATGAACTCGTGACCGATTTTCGGTTTTGTAGAATCTGTTTTCGGTCCTTTTGAACGGGTTTTCCATTCTTTTTAGTTATTTGTTCGGCCATTCTCAGACCATTTCCGATTCTTTCGGAACCGCTTTTCGGTTCGTTTGGAACCAGTTTTCGGTTCTTCGTACTTACTTTTCCGGTTATTTTGAGATGAATAACCAATTCCTTCGTAGCCGTTTTTCGGTTCTCTTGGAATCGAGTTTCAGATCTTCCGGGACCGTTTTTCGGTTCTTGTTAGAACCGGACCGATCCGTTCGCTAAATTAACCGGTTCTCCGGGTTCCAGTTCGTCTGTTCTGTGCATCACTAATGTACAGAGATAACAAATTTTTAACTGCATTAGATTTGAAATAAGTCGAAGCATAAATCTGTGGTCACAAGCAATAACCGCCTAAGTCGACTTTAGAAAGAATGGAGTTATATATGCTATCGTATTCTTCAACCCCTATTCCATGCGGATGTGAAATCCTCATCTCGCCAGCTAGGAAACTTAAAAATATATAGGCGAAAATATTTTGGTTTCCCCATAAGGATAACATTACAATCCAAATGTTTAAAACGTTTTTTTTTTTCGAATTCAGGTTTTTCCACTTAGGCGGTTATTGCTATGACCACAGAAGTATGGATTTTCTGAAACTCTCGACTACAGAGACATCTAATGGATTTATGTTTGGTAAGTATATTTCTCATCATACCTGTACATATGTGCGCATTATATATTTTCAATTTGATTTTCGGTAAACATAATATTCATTTTTAATTTCATCTAAATCCCACTATTAAATAGCGGTTTTCTGAATATATCGACCCCAGCGACACCTAGCGGATATATTTTTCGTAAAAATATTTCTCGTCGTATTACCAGTATACCTCTCTAATTTGATCAAAATCGGACAATAAATTCCGATTCGGACCATAATTACGGATTTACTCAATAACTCGGCTCGGTGAATACAAATCTTATGAGTATCTCGACTTTAGCGCCACCTAGCGGATACATTTTTCGTAAAAATATTTATCGTCTCACCCCCAGTATTTGTTTAAAGTTTCATCAAAATATGTAAATGTAGAATGTGTCGACTTATTGCGCCACCGAGGGGATTAAAATATAGCCTATGTACTCTTCATATTGGCTTGAAATCAGTTCATTAATTTTTGAGTCAAGTGTTTTACAAAGAAAACGGCTACACTTTTAACCGAGTTACAAAAAAAAAAGAGGTGGTTATCAATTCGTCGGAATAGTTTTTTTTTATGTATGTTACCGCATAACTTTGCACCAAGTCAGTCTCAGAGGTGGTCCCATACTAATGTGGTTTAGATCCGATCATTGGATCATGAAAACATTAACGGCACTCCTAAATTTCTATATGAGCATTGAAGTCGGTTTTGTTTTTTGCTTAAAAATTACTCGTTATAGATAATGTTGGTCTCTCTTTCAAAGCTGCCGGCACTTATTTCACAGAGTGTAAGTGCATTATTGTGTCTTCCAAGTCAAGTAGATATTTCCGCCGATTTGTGCTTGTTGCAGATTTTATAAATTCATAGCAAGCATTTGTCTGATGCGCTGATAGAGTGGTTTTGGTGGAAGCGTCGAATGATTATGTACATACATACATACTAGCTATAGTTGGTTGCTGCATGAGTAGCGGAAGATTAACCAGGCTCAGAAGCCAAACTACATAGCACACACACAAACATACATATACAGCTGTTGGTGCAATAAACAGGTGTAGCGCGTTGTATTCGTCGGCGGCGCACACGTGTGTCTTGTGCCACAAAAGTCAGGCGCAATGAAATGTGTAAAGAATAAATAAATTTTGAATAATAAATGATGTAAATGTATGTATATAAAATGAGGGAAGAAGAAGATGCTTGCATACTACATATGTACGTAAATAAAATGCACAACAAATAAATAAAGGAGAACACCGTCGAACAGCTGGGGAATGTACAAAATTGCCAGCAAACTTCCAGCAGCATTTGCAACATTTCGTAACTGTTAATGCAATACAATTGTAATGGCTTGTAAGCTGGTGGATTTATCAATTTAACTGCATCCATGATGGAAGAAAATGCCAATAATTCATTGATTAAAATGCGTTCGTCTTAATGGCTAAACTTTGTTCGAGTGAAATGTGAGTCCAACCACACCCCCTCCGCTGTACACCGCCGCATTTGGCGTAAGTTCGGAAATGTTTGTGCGTGCACCACACAAATGATTTATGGACTTTTCAACATATTGACTGGCGAGTATTTATTGCTCAAAGCTTGTCACACATTCGCATTCGTTCGCACACACACTCTCAATTACATATGCGAGCAGCTAAGTTATTTAGTCAGTACTCGTAAACTCCAACTCAAGGGATTGCAATATACATATAAAATAAATCCCACACGCAATTGACGGAAGTGTTGACCTTACATTTTTGTAAGGTATTAGTGTTTTGACAATTTAGCCTTTCAGCTCGACTTTGGTTTTTATTTTTTTTTTTTTTGCTGATGCGAATATTTAGGTCACAGCTCAGTTTTAGCAAAACAAGTTTGCTTAAGTGAAAATGTGACAGCTGCACTCTAATCTATTTTAACTTTTTTTTTGGTTCTTTGTTTATTTTCTTGAAAGCTTGACAACGCCGTGGACATGCAGTCGAGCCAAAGTTTTGGTCACTCAAAATGTGAAAGTGGATTTTTTTTAGAAAGATTTATGCGCATTTTTGCCTTGTAATGTTTTGTGGATGGAGGAGTTTTTTTTCATGTAACCTGCTTAATATTGGCAGTTATCAAGAAATCTAACAGTATTTACGCTGTAGCCGAGTGGCAAGACCGTTTCGAAGGACTTGGATGCGAGTGATCCCTGGTGCGAGCAACATCGAAAATTAGAAAACAGTTTGTTTTTTTTTTCTAATAGCGGTCGCCCCTCGTCCGGCAATGGCAAACCTCCGAGTGTATTTCTGCTACAAAAAAGCTTCTCATACTCATCCTCATCCATTTGCCGTTCGTGCCGTCAAAACGCACGCCACAAATTGGAGAAGAAGCTCGACAAAGCACTAAGCAAAAGTGTAAGCGCCAAATGTGTATTTCATTTATTTATGCGAAGGCTAAGGAGAAAGAGTGGCGTATGGCATTTGAAGTATGTAGCTTACTTCCGCCCCCGTTAAGTTCGGTTTAACGTTATGATATAAAATGATAGAAAAGAGAAAATATATTATATCACCGAAGATAATACATTTTATTTAAAAAAGAGGCTCGAATTTCAACTGAATTTGTTATTTCAATGTAAAAAAAAACAACTTAAATAAACTTTTTACATTATACCCCCACCTTAAAAAAAAAATAAATTGTCAGAATAAAAGACCAACACTCTTTGTTTCATCTCAATGTCTTATAGAAATATTTCATTCATCTTTGTTTTGTATTTAGCAAATTTTCACTTGAATTTGATTTTTATACAGGTGATACCCCCTTAAAATTATAAAGCTTTTTTCAACCTGTTTAATATATTTCATTAAAGTAACTGTAAAAATTTAATTAGACTTTTCAACCCCATGTAAAAGTATTTTCGAAATACATTTTTAAACATCTCTTTTTTGACTTGACATCATTTTGTAAATGTTTCATTTTACTAATTGATTAAATTTAATTTGGACAGTTTCGAAACAAAGCTTCATCAGTTTTGTAAGACTTTATTTAACTTACAACATCCTTCAAAATATTTTCAAAATAATGCTTTTTAAATCTAATTCGTATGACACCCATATTGTAATACTGTATTCAACTTATTGAAAATTTGAATTGAACTTTTCAAATATGTCGCAATCTTAATTCTGCTAAACATGTTTTCGTTATAAAGCTTTCCTAAATCTCGTTGATGAGCATCCATACTTTAAAATTTCGGCGAGCTTAAAGTTTAAAGTAGAATTAAACCTTTTAAGCAGGTGACATCCCTTTTCAAAAACTATGTTATATGTTAATTCCAGTTCCAGTTCAGGACTGTGCGCGTATAGCATAGGAGGATTATATGTGTAATTCTAAGAAAATTTGCCGAAGAAACCGTGGGTATAAAATTAATTTGGAGTTTATCAAATTGCGAAAATAGATTTCGAAGAAAATGTGAATGTGTCACTTTTGCGCCCGCTGGTGAAAGTTTAAAGAAAAAAGAAAAGTGCAGAAATGGATTCCTCATACCATAAAACCCATCACAGCGTGCTGTTATACAAACTTTCAGCCTTTCTTTACGACACTACAGCAAAATTCTAAGAAACCTATATGCGCAATTTGGTAAACTCCAAATTGATTTTAGATCATTGGTTTCTTCCGAAAATTTTCTTAGAACTACACGTAGAATCTTTCTGTGCCATAGGCGCATAGACCAAAACATGTCCAATTTATACATTTTGATCCGTGCTAATGCTCACTCACAAACTTTC